ATGGGCTGGTCCTACACCCCCGCAGCCAGAGCGGCCAGAAGCTGGACAGGGGCGGGGGTTGGCGGGAGGTAGTGAGAGGAAGGCCCTGAGGAGGGTGGCTGTGCTGAATGGAGCCAGGCCCCCAGAGGAGGTCCTGGAGTCTGATGGGAAATGCCTGCTGAGTCGGTGCTGCCCCTCCTCCAGCCTCCTCGGGATGTTCTTCGGAGAAAGGCCTTCCCCATCACAGTCTGGGAATCCCTGGGTTTTTCAGTCTATTTTTCTTCAGCTGACATTTGTGGAACACTGAACTGGGCAGCGGGCACTAGGGCAAAAGCTTAACACATGCAAATTCCTATGGCCATCGATGAGGACCTGGAGGCTGGGCGGCTCTCCCTGTTCTATCAACGCGGCTCCCGGGGGCGCAGCAACCCCCGAGGGCCCCAGCTCCTAAGCACTGACCTGGGACTCGAACCTTCTGCCATCATCTGTGCTGGGGGTGCTGGGAACCCAGAAGGGATGCAGTACGCAGCCTCGTGGAGCCGTTCAATGGGCTACAGAAAACCTAGTGAGCTTTCAGGGCCAGGGCCTCTCAGGAAAGGGCAGCAGGAAGGGCCACCTGTGGTCAGAGGGCTCCAGGGTTGGGCCAGGGATGGCTCCTGAACTTAGATGGAGCCTGGGATCCAGGGACAGTTAGCAGGGAGCAAGTAAGAATCCAGCCTTAGCCAGGGCTCCCAGGTCCTGTCCAGGGACGACTGGGGGCGGGGACAGATTTCTAGCTGGAGGCAGAGAATAGGGAGGGAAAAAAAAGCAGAAAGAAATCTCAGCATTGCTGTTCAAAGCCCTGAACCTCAGGCCCATTTCTGGACTTGGAATCTGGTCTCAGGTGGGGAGAGAAAGAGGGGAGACCCTGCGCATTCCGGAGAGCTGAGCCCGGCACGGCAGGGCCCAGGGCTTGTCGGAGCCACGCTCTTAGAGCTCCTTGGCCCAGAGCGCCGTCCTCCCGCACACTGAAGCCTCTGCTGGGTTTGATCCCAGCGCCAGCACGTGCTGACCCGTGTCCTCTTAGTCTGCTTAATGGTGCTAAGCCTCTGTTTCCTCATCTGAAGAGCGGCGGCTTCCTGACAGAGGCAGCTGCTGCAGCCGGTGAGTGGCGCTGGTTCCCAGCGCAGAGGTCAAGCAGAAAGCAGACACTGGGCGGCCGAGCTCCAGCCCCTACTGCAACTCCAAACGACTGGCCCCTGCTGACTCCACTCCCACGGGGAGGGGGAAACGAGGCACAAAAGTTGCGGCTCAGCTCACAGCCTCGCCATGACAGTGGCGGGGGTGCCCTGGCCCGGCCCCTGCTTCCACTGAGCGCCTCCCTCCACTACCCACGGAGGACCGATGTGGAAAGACCCACTCCTGCCAGGCCGTGCCGGCAGCCAGCAGCCTGGGAGCCCCAGGCGCCAGCCCCACGGGCCCCATGTGCCCCTGGAATGCCCTGTATCAGTCACACGGGCAGCACCCAAGAACGCATGCGGGCCCCGCAGGTCACCTTTGTCTGCTGACACAGTGCCTTATCTTCAGAGGCACTCAGGAGATTAGCACAAGGGGGCGGGGGGCAGCCCAAGACCCCCCAAGGCCCCTACTCCTCCCTGCAGCACTTCTCAGGCATCTCCTGCGGGGCCTGGGCTGGGTCCTGACTGCTTTGGGCCTGCTCGGGCCCCACCTCTTATCTCCCACCCAGTACTTCCTGCACACGCTAGGCCCCGTTCAGAAAGGGGAAAAGTCAGGAGGGGCAGGCCAACAGGGTGGGAACTGGAGGTAAATGCAATAAGTGACGCCAATTTTAGCCTCCAGAAGGCTGCTCGACTTCCAGGGAATAAGGTCAGCAGACCACAGAAATGCCTGCTGCCTGCCTGGGACCCACGTGTGCTGTGGACCCGATCTTTCTGAGAGGGAAACACCTGCTTTCCACCCTGTCGGCCCCGGGAGCGAGGGGCAGCCACCAGGGAGCCCGGGACACACTGCCCTCCCCTGACTTCCGCTGCCGGGGGACACGGGACCTTTGCGGCAACAGATGAATGGGGTCTCCAAGGAGAAGCCAACCGCTTTTGTGTCCACCTGGAGGATACCACCCCGGAGGCCATACCCAGCACATCCAAGAGGTCCAGTCCGATGGCCTTTCTCCACTGATAAAACGTTGACCCCAAACATAGCCCACAGTAAATCCCAACTTGGTAACTTTTAGTGCGCGCTAAGTCGCTTCAGTCATGTCCGACTTCGTGAGACCCCATGGACTATAGCCCCGCAGCCTCCTCTGTCCATGGGAGTCTCCAGGCAAGAATACTAGAGCCGGTTGCCATGTCCTACTCCAGGGGATCTTTCCGACCCAAGGATCGAACCTACATTTCTTAAGTCTCCTGTATTGGCAGACGGGTTCTTTACCACTAGTGTCACGTGGGAAGCCCAAAACTTTTAGTAGAATACTTTTAAGACCACTAGAGTTATAGAGGGAAACAAACAGTGGATAAAATCAGCTGGATCCCTCACAGGAGAACAGCCCTCCTTCAATCAAAGTGATGCACTTATCTGTAAGCCAACCTCCTTCCTCCTGCCCATGATGGGGAAATACAGCAATCTCCTGCTAGCTTCTTCCTCCAAGTATCTACCATCTGCATGGGTACCAAGTGGGCCGGGACGGCCTGGTCCCCGGTAACATGCATACGGCCTGACTGGAGAGCACGCTGAGGCCCTGCTCGGTGCCTGTCCTGCAGGCAGCAGGTCCAGACACCACTGCTTGCCTTTCTACGGGTGGGGTGAGGAAGCAGAGGGAAGGGGAGCAGGGGAGGGAAACACCCCTGCAGGCAGGGCCAGGGTAACTCGTGCAGCAAGACAGACACTCATGGGACTTCCTTCGTGGTCCAGCAGCTAAGACTCTGTGCTCCTAATACAGGGGGCCTGGGTTCGATCCCTGGTCAGGGAACTAGAGTTCACATGCCACAAGAAGACTTTGCACACCCCAGCGAAGACTGAAGAGCCTGCGTACTGCAACTGGGGATCCGGTATAGCCAAGTAAATAAATATTGGGGAAAAAAAAAAAGAAAGAGGCAGATAGGCCCAACTCCTCAGTCCCCTGAGCTCTAAGCCCCCTGCCTGAAGTTTCAAAAACTGCCCAGCAGGGGAACTTCACAGCACTGGTGGAAAACTGCTGTTTCTGAGCTCCCTTTTAGGAGACAACAGGGACCACAAGAACCCTAAATGCTTTTCCTTAAATACCTTAACTGCCAGCTCTGAAGGCTGTAAGAGGGTGGCATTTGGGGAGGATGTGTGTGTGCGTGCCAAGTCACCTTAGTCATGTCCAACTTTGAGCCACCCTGTGGACTGTAGCCTGCCAGGCTCCTCTGTCCATGGGATTCTCCAGGCCAGAATACTGAATTGGGTTGTCATGCCCTCCTCCAGGGGACCTTCTCGACCCAGGGATCAAACCTGTGTCTCCTGCTGCTACCTGCATTGCAGGCGGACTCTTGACGGTAGAGCCACTGGGGAAGCCCTTTTTATGAAGCCTATTATTATCCCTCATCCAAAGGTGTGTTCACATCACATCAACCGACCAATCGGATCTGACGTCCTGGGGTCAGGAGACCCCCCCTCTCCCCGCCTACTCCCTGAGGCCATTAAAGACAGAACTCTACAGAGCCTCAAAGAAAGTTCCCCCAGGGTAGCTCAGTCCTGGAGGGAGATGGAGAAGAAATTCCCTTTTGTGGATCTCTCTCTTTAAGAGTAACTTAATCAGATATTCAAGGCTTGTTTTGGCAAATGACAAGACAAGAGCCTTGTTTATCAGGCATTTTCTTAAAACCAGGTTGGAACAATAACAGCAATAAGAAAGAAAAAACTGGCCCCGCCACTTTCAAAGAGGCCCCAAATCGGCTCTCTTGAGCCCTTAGAGTGTAACTACCATCAGGGTGGAAAACCTAAAAGTTGAAACCAGATGGAGAGATAAGAGAGCAGTTTCAGCATGTTCTGATGCAATCCCATATCAACAGGGGCCCACAAGCCAGGAAAAAAAAAAGGAGCAGCAGGCTTTCTCAGCACTGAAAACAGGGCCCCCACCCCCTCACAGATACACTGCCTCCCAAATCTCAGACTGCTGGTTTCTGCTGCGAAGCTCACTAATGCCAGGCAGCCCGCTGGGGAAGGGGGAGAGACAGGAGAGGCCTGCGAGTTAATGATAAACAAATCTGGCCACTTGTCCTCAACCCCCTCTGAGGCTGATCCTGTTTCACTTTTACATTTGCAGCTGCAGGCTCTGCTCCATGCTGGCCCCCACGCTCCTCCCAGAAAGCATTCAAACCCCGAGGCTCCCCTCCCTCTACAGAAAGAGGCAGCAGCAGAAATATAACCCAGTTCAGGCGCATCCTGAACCAGATCTTTAGAAAAGCTTGGCAAAGTTGGGACAGGAGTTTACACAACTAGAATGGGCCTGATGCACTAATATTCAGCATGTAAAACTTACCACCACGCACAGCACCCAGGGAGGCTGCTGATGAACAGCATTTAAGCAAATTTAAACATGTTTCCACAGCCCAAAATGTTTAACAGATCCCTGCCAGCTTCTCCTTTTGGCTCGTTCTTTCAAGTCAAACTGTTCTCTCACAGTTCTGCTGGACTCGCTAGGAATTTATACACCTCTGGGAGGCAAAGTTTTCAAACTAAGGTGAATGAGCCCCAGGGGAAACAGAAGCTCATTCAGAGCAGCAATGCTGACTGGGGTACCTGGACCTCATAGCCAACCAGGATCCTGTCCTCCTTTCCAGAAGGCCCCAGGGACTGGGAAGCTTGAAAACCACATACAGCTGGCTGTCATCCCACCCTGACAGCTCCTGTATCCTCAGCAAAGGGAGCCGCCACGCAGATAGCAAGGCTGGTGGGAAAAGGGTTCTCACTCAGGCTGGGAGAGACTCGAGCAGCCTCTGGCCTGTGTCCCTGACGTGGTCTGACGACACCGGGTGCCTCGGGCCATGTCAGAGCCTGTTTACCTCTGCTGATGCGCTGCTTCTCTCCAGACAGGATCCCCGGGGTGTCGATGATGCTTATGCTGTCCAGGACCGGGTTGGGCAGCTGGGCGCACATGAACCTGCACGAGAGCAAGAGCCCGGAAGAGCGAGGTCAAGATTCGGGTATCGTTGCTTTGGGTCAAAGAGCAGTGATGTCTGTACTCCCTCATCTCTGCCTCTGGCTTCCCTTTAAGAAGCAAGGAACCTAAAGGAGGTTTCTCTATTGTCTTAAGTTTCCAGGGGAGGGAACTCCCTGGCGGTTCAGTGTTGAGGATGCTGCACCTCCACTGCAGGAGGCACAGGTTTGATTCCTGGTGGGGGAACTAAGATCCTGCATACCGTGTGGCCAGAAAAAAAAAAAAGGTTTCCGGGGTGGCCAGCACATTGCTCGTATTGTCTTAACTGGGAATCCAACCAGCAAGCTCCAACTGACAGACATCAGCATTTCCCTTACTGAGCTCTTCCCCCCAGAGTTTCAGAGTTCAACTTCCAAGTTGCTGACATGTTAGCGAAAACTGCACGCACAAGCCTCAGTCACCATTCAAATCCAGAAGGAAGGGAGAAGAGTGACAAACGGGGACCTTGGAATTCCATATTCAGGTTTTCAACCACCTGGCTACATTTCCACACACCAAGAGAGATGGTCCTTTCCTATACCTGCTGGAGCCAGCTGGTATGGCTGACTGGTATGGTGGGAGGGAGCCCTCCCTCCCACCCAGCTGCTTGGGTGAAAGTACTGCGGTGGCCAGCGACAGCCAGGGGACCACACAAGCTGGTGGATGGTGGGGCAGGGAAGCACAGACACCAGATTCTCTGAAAGTCAAAGCAAAGTAGGGAGGAAGGAAGCCACAGAGTCATGGGCGAGGGCTCAGCTCTGTGTGCGTGAGTTCCCACCGAGCTCAAAACAGCCCAGAAGGACTGTCCCATCTGATACCAGAGATTCTCGACTGGACACAGAGAAGTCCTTTAAACACTTCTCTAGAAAAGGTACTGCAAGCAAAGAAAATACTGGCCCATTGTCTAGGAATCTGAGGAGATGAGCTTCTCCCTGTGGCCCCACCCCAAGTGACCACAGCCCACAGGCCAGGGGCCGCTGGCCGGGGGCGAGAGGTGCTGCCTGCCTGCAAGCACAGCCGAGCAGAAGCTGCTGACCCTCAGGATGAAGAAAGCTTGGGCCTCATCCTCACTGTGCCAGCAGCAGAGCACATATGCTGTAAATAAACCGCACGACCTGGCGCTCCTGCCAGGGAAGGAGTCAGCGGAGAGAAAACCAAAACGGGAGGATTTTCAGCTGGCTCTGAGACATAACATACGTAAAACGGTCTTGTCAAGAGCCTAGCCAGTAAGTTGACATCTGTTCAGATAGGGTGCTCTGCAAAACCCGGGGAGTGAGGCTGCAAACATGAAAGGGAGCGGGCAGTGTAGATGCGTCCCATCCTGTTTTCTCACCAACAAGGACGTGCTGATTTCATCTCGAGCTACAAGTACCAGTTACAAGTACCCAGGCTGCGCCCTGCCTCCGATTTGAGTCTTGGAGCAGCCACTCAGGGGGAAGAGGCCGGAAAGTCAAGTCCATGACTCAAAGAGTCTCTTTAAGGGTGCGGGAGAGGCCGTGTCAGCCAGTGAAGAGCCCCCTTTGTGTGCCCCGGCTGGCCGGCGGCGCTGGTGTACTACACGGGCTGACACAGCTCGGGCCTCCGCTCCAGCGCAAAGCCACATCCCCACCCTCGGCTGATGAGGCCCCTTCCGGTGAGGTCGTTAGTATTTTGGGACCCTCTGGTGATGAAGCAGTGGCAGAAGGAAATAAAAGCGTGGCTCTGGGGTCCTGCGGCACCAGCACAGTCAGGGTGCCTCTCCTAGACTCGGCATTCCTGAACTGCTGTTTTGTTTTGTTTTTTCCCCAGGGAGAAGCAGCACGGGGAGGTAACTGGCTGCACAAAGGCAGACAGTCGGCCCTCCAAGGGCGCTGCATTAACTTGCTCGGTGGTGAACTCGTCAACGGCTGGGCTCCCTGAGCAGCGGTTTCCTGAACAAGATGATGTCTAAGATCCCTTCCAGCCTTGAAACTTTAGGTCTCCAAATTCAGAAAACAGGTCATACATCCACTTCTCCTTACAAAAAAGGTCTGCTCTCACAATCAATAGTGGACACCTAAGGCCAGCAGAAGGAGATACAGCTCCCTCCTTCTAGCCTCCCAAATTTCTCCGGGAGCAGACCTGAGTCTCAGAATTCCCAGCCTGGCAGGGAATCTTTCCACAAGACTGTACGGCACCCACCAGGTGACAGTCAGCCAGCTGCCCGTCTACAGGTACAGGTCTCAGACCCCAGTACCCCTCCGAGGCGGGCTCCTGGCCAGGAGGACCCTGCCTCTTCAGGAGTCTCACTCCAAGAGCTTTACTCTACTCTGGCCCTGACTCACCAACACCAGAAGCCATGGAACAGGAAGGCAGGTTTAAATGCAAAAAGACAACAGAAGCCCGCCTGTCTTCTCGGTTAAAAGGTCAGCTTTGCACCCGGAGGTCAGCCTGGCCACTGGCTGGGATCGAGGGTGAGCTGGTCTACCCTGTGGGGCTGGACAGTGTCTGGAAAGGAATGTGATCACACTGGGCGGGGACCTTCTGGAAGGCAAGAGTCAGGGATTCCTTCCTAGGCCCTTCCCCAGAAGGGACTTTGAAAGGCATGTAAAGTCACTCCTCTAATGGACTTTGGCAGACAGGACAGATTTGTGAAGTCCTTTGGTATGTCCCCTGGGGGCGTGGGTGGGGGGATTTTAGAATCCCCATTGAGCTGGGACCTTGAGTTCCTTTAGAGAAAAGTGAACCAGGCTGTAGCGCTCCGCTCCTGAGAGAGCAGGCTGACGCATTTCATTCATAGCGTCCTGAAGGTTAGACCTTTACAGGGTTCCCCTCATTTACCCATTTAACTGGGAAACGGAGGCCCAAGTAGGTTACGGAACACCCTAGGGAGTTTACAGGGGCTGGAATCTCATTCCAGGGCTCCGGAGGCCACGGCCTGGCAGCACAGACCCTTACCCCAGAAACCTTTAAAGCAGCACAGGCCCTTCAGAGCTGCCCCTGCAAGAAGTGCTGGGGCTCCCCTCTGTCTGCTGCCTCTGCAGGCCGCCCCAAACTCAGCAGGCCACAGCAGATCTCCCCGGTACCTCCTCCACAAACCAGCGGTCCCCGGGGAGACACACCACACCAGCAAAGTGAACATCTAAAAGTTTCACTGTATTTTTCCAGGACACTTAAGAAACAGACCCTTGAAGCGAGGGGGTGAGGGGGTTGGTTTGAATGAATTAGGTGCGCCCAGCCTCAGGGAAGGAGGTGGAAACCAAGATTACCTGAGGGGGATGTGAGGAGTCTAGGATCTGCCAGGGTCGGGGGTTGGGAGTTAAACCGATAACCTGGGAAAATTCGGGGGGCGGGGGGGAAACAGAGCCGCGGGAGCCGGCGACGCCCATTCGCAGACCCCCTTGGTAAGGGTTTTCTTTGGGAAGCGGCAGGGGACCCAGTTCCGGGGAGTGGTCGCTGGGGGGGGGGGTTTTGCGGGGGCTAAGGACAAAGAACAGCGGAGGCAGTGGTCACTGGACGGTCGGGACCCCGGCGGCCCCCTCTCCCGGGGAGAGGGGTGGCTACCTGTTGAGGAAGGCGTTGCCGAAGGCGTTGAGCTTGCGGAAGGGCCGCCGCGGGTCGACGACGAGCGCGTTGCCCGGCACCACGCCCTCGGTGGGGCCGTGCATGACCGCGATGAAAGAGTCGGTGGTGGGCTCGGGCCCGATGCGCATCCCCGGGAAGTCCTGCTCAATCAGGTGCCGGATGAAGGTGGTCTTGCCCGTGCTGTACTGGCCCACGAGGAGCACCATGGGCTTGTTGTCGAAGTCAGCGTCCTCCAGCGCGGGCGAGTGGAACTCGTGGAAGCGGTAGTGCTCCTCCAGGGGCAGCAGCTTCTGCGCGTACAGCTGCCGCAGCCCCTCGGACACCGTCTGGAAGAGCTCCGGCTCCTTCTTGCGGCGGGCATCCTTGCTGACCCAGCTGAACATGCTGCCGGACACCGGGCTGGCTGCTGCGGGGCGAAGGGGCGGCTGAGAGCCGGGCGAGGACGCGGAGCCGAGGCTGGGCCGGGCCGGCCGGCTGAGGGGGCGGTGGGGCAGGGGGGCGGGGAGCGGTCCACACTGCGCAGGCGCACGGCGCGACTAGCCGAGTGCCCTTCGGTACAGTGGAACGCGCGCCTACCCGTGCGCTCTTTATAAGGCCCTGCCGCGCGTCCCAGCGCGCGCGCCGCCGCCACTCGGGGCCGCAGGGAGCTGGGAGAGGGAAGGAGGAGCCCCGCCCGCGCGCTCCGCGCCACGTCCTCCCCTCCCCCGCCTCTCATTGGCCGATTCCAAATCTCGCGAGCGCCGCTAGTTCCGCTGAGGCCCCACCCCCACCCCGGGCCCGGGTGCCGTGGCAACCGCACCTGTTTCGCCCCGCCCCTCGTGGGGCTGCTCGCGGAAGTCCCGCGGTCGCGAAGGCGGCTGGCGGGAGGGCGGCGCGCGGAGGTCCTAGGGTCTGCACGCCTTCCTCCCCCGCGAGATTCCCAGTTGGACACCCCAGTACCCTGAATACGCTCCCCACCGCAGCTCCCTCAATGGACGGCCCTCCTCCTCCCACTCAGAATCCCCAGAAGCATGGGAGAACCCCTGGTGCCATGCGTCCCCTGTCTGCACTGCCCTTCCTTGCCTCCTCCTCTCGCCCTTGCTTCCCTGACACTCCTTCTCATCCCCTCGTCTTTTATCTGCTCTGGGAGAGGGCGAGACAGGAATGAGGTAGTGGAGAAAGCTGAGGGAGTACACTGTCCAAGGCGGGGTGGTGACTGGGGAAATAAAAATGGGAAGGGAGGAGGCTGGTGGGGAAAGTCTGAGCCGTCGCAAGAGACCTGAGCTCCCCACAGGCCAGGAATTGGGAGCTGGGCACTAGCAGTGGAGGACACACATGACATAGAACACGCGAGGAAAAAGATACCGCCTCCCTCAAGAGGCTGCCTCTGAGGGTGGGGAAGTGGGGTGAAGAGGAAGTTAGGCCCTCTGGCACTTCGAGTTTTGAGGAAGTTAATCAGAAATTCCCTATGTGGGGTGGAGGGGAAATGTGGGGCAACAGTGAAATCTTGTGGGAACTCTGGGGGAATTAAAAAACCCAAATACTTCCGCTTTCCTCTCTGGGTCACCACCAGTTACCATGCTTTACTCTGACCTGTGCCTCCTGCCCTTACCAGTTCCTGGCTCTTCTGTTAGGCTCATTCCCCCACCATCATCCCGGGCCACACATAGGCCCCCTTGGCTGTCCAGGCCGGTGAGAATCTTCAGTGGGTGAGGTCAGTGGGTGAGCTCTGAGGACTGTGATTGTTATGTAACCGGTATCAGGACACCAAAGTGGCGGGGGGGTGGTGGTGAGGGGGGTGCTCCTGGACAGATCTAAAATGTACCTGGGAGCGTGAAGGCCTCCCGTCCAACTTTCTGGCTTCTGGGAAGTGTGGGAACCTGGAGGGCTGGGTACCTGTTATCAGGCACCTGTTATCAGGGAAGAGAGGAGGCTGGCAGGCTAAAAGGACAGATGCAGGAACTCAGATCTGAGACTCAGCAGAATATCAGGGCGCTGAGTCAAGTGGGAATCAGAGGGGGCCAGATGGGAGGTTTGATCCCCCACCCCTTGAAGGATCAGGTCTCAGCGCCTTCTGAAGGAATAAACCACATTAAATTGATTGCCTGCCCTCCACCCCCCACCTCACCCCATTAGAGAGCAGCTGAGTAATTCCAGCCCTGTCTGCAATCTTAGCTCTCTGACTTAACTGCTTTTATTTGGGACTTCATTAGCATTCTTTTCATCAATCACAGTAAAACACAGAAACCACGAGACTCTGGCTTTCTCCTCAAAAGAGGATATTGAGACTCCTAGGCAGGGCTGTCACCCGTCCAGACTTCCGGGGCCAGCCTTAGAAGCCAAAAGGACTTGCTTCCTCCATAGTGCTTTGAGGGGTCCGCCCCGGAGATACAACTTCTGGGGTGTTCCAGGGAAGGGCCTGAGGCTGAGGAACCTGAAAGAGGTGGTTGTCTAATAGCCTGAATGAGGGGGCCCAAGCTTGTCCCAGTAGCTCTCACACTGACCTGTCATGGTTTTCACGTCTCCCTAGAGCCTTGTATGCTGGGAAAACCCAGTCCTAAAAAACTGAAAACAACAAAATGTTCCTGGGTTATTTATAAATGAAACCAGCCCCTGTTGGTTATGTATGGCCACTTGACTTTCTCCAAGGACTCAGAGGATTGGAAGAAGGGAGCTCTCTCCCTTACGAGGCTCAAGTGTGTGGAAATTAGTTTCACCGAGTTGGCACCTGGGTCCTGGGTGGCTTCTAGTGTATCTAGATCACTGTATCTAATGATGCCCCAGACTGTGAAAATGTCCTAACTTTCTTTCCTTTTTTATGTTTGTGTAGGCTAGTTTCTATTTGGTGGGAAGGTTTCATCAAACATGAATGAACAATTTCACTTTTGGTTTCTCCCCTTTTACTTTCTGTTTTTACCTGGTTCCCTGACAAAAGGCTAAAGAAGTTAAATGTTTTCCTTTGGCTCAGAAATGATGGCCATTCCCCCACTCCCGGTATTTTCTTCCTTCAAATTCACACACACCACCTGCCGAACCCTGTCTTGGGTGATGCTAAGTCTCCTCTGCTCCCGCCTAGCAGAAGCGGGTCGCCTGCTTGCCCTCCAACCAGTCTGCTCAGCCCCATGACGGCCTGGTCTAGAGCAGTGTCTACATGACTTCTAAAAACAATTTTAAAAAAAAGGAAGAAAAGAAAAACAGAATTTTTCTCCAAATATGGCAGAAGCATCAGGCTGGAAAAATCCAATAACACATAGGTTTGTCCCTGGGATCAGAAGTGGTTCATTCTTTCCACTGAAAGTTTGCATATAAGCACAGTTTTCTTTCTCTCAGTGATGAGGAATAGATTTGGCCAACAGGTCAGTTTTGCCAAAACAAAATAAAGAACCAGGGAATTCTGAACTTCCCTCGTGGTCCAGTGGTTATAACTCCAAGCTTCCAGTGCTGGGGGCACAGGTTCAATTCCTGGTTGGAGAAGTTCCACATGCTTTGGGGTGTGGTCAAAAAAAAAAAAAAAAGAACCAGGGAGTTCTGTTCTTTTGCAGGCTGGGGGCTCCAGCACCAGCCAGAGGGTATCCTCTCCACATATACGGGACCCCTCTTTGTTGTTGTTTTTCCATTTATTTTTATTAGTTGGAGGCTAATTACTTTACATCATTGCAGTGGTTTTTGTCATACATTGAAATGAATTAGCCATGGATTTACATGTATTCCCCATCCCGGTCCCCCCTCCCACCTCCCTCTCCGCCCTATCCCTCTGGGTCTTCCCAGTGCACCAAGTCCGAGCACTTGTCTCATGCATCCAACCTGGGCTGGTGATCTGTTTCACCCTAGATAATATACATGTTTCGATGCTGTTCTCTTGAAACATCCCACCCTCGCCTCCTCCCACAGAGTCCACAAGTCCGTTCTATACATCTGAGTCTCTTTTTCTGTTTTGCATATAGGGTTATCGTTACCATCCTTCTAAATTCCATATATATGTGTTAGTATACTGTAATGGTCTTTATCTTTCTGGCTTACTTCGCAGGACCCCTCTTTGGAAGACTCAAGGACATGCCTCTAGGCGCTAGGGCTCTGGGAGGGTTGCTGGGCTCCAGAGACCCCTCCAGGTGTCCGGCAGCAGTCAGGACATGGTCCAGCTTGGAGGGAACAGAGTGTCAGGGCTGCTGAGGATCTCTGCCTTCAGATCCCAGTGAGAAAAAGCCCGAGGTTCAGGGATGTTGAGTGACTTGCTTGAAGTCACCCAGGTTGAATGAGAAGCTGGACCTTTGGAATCTTAACACTGTGTTCTTTCCACACCCAAACCATTTGAAGTTGCAAGGTCAGGCTGGTAGCAGAGCAAATCAAGTGGGTCTGAAGAGCCTTTGCCTGGGTACCAGCTGGGGTGAACTCTGCCCCGAAGCAGCAGCTCTCGCTCTGCGGCCGGGGGGGCCCTACCAGGGTACTGTGTATGTATAGCCACGTGGTGCTTTACAGCGCTGACCTGTAGAGGCCTCAAGCACTTTTGATAGAAACTACACTGTGGGGCTGGAGGAGGCCACCCACTGCTGGGCTTCCAAACAGCCCCAGTCTTAGCAGCCTCTGATCTCATCTTGCAGGAGCTGCCCATCTGATCTCAGGGGTGCAGTTTTTACCTAAACTCCCCGGAGAGCTTGGCTGCCATCCCAGCCCTGCCCTCCAGGCCTTTGCTGTGGACACATCACGTGTGAGGACTTCCGGGGAAGTGGTTTATCATTTTCACATGCGAGTTCTGCCTTCTACAGTGGTACCATCAGGGTTCCCTTGGCAGCGTCTTTGTTGTTCAGTCACTTACACGTGTCCCGCTCTTTGTGACCCCATGGACTGCAGCATGCCAGTACAGCATGTTTCCCTGTACTTCACCATCTCCTACACTTTGCTGAAACTCATGTACATTGAATTGATGATGCTATCCAACTATTTCATCCTTTGTCACCCCCCTTCTCTTGCCCTCAATCTTTCCCAGCATCAGGATCTTTTCCAGTGAGTCAACTCTTCACATTAGGTGGCCAAAGTATTGGAACTTCAGCTTCAGCATCAGTCCCTCCAATGAATATTCAGGACTGATTTAGGATTGACCAGTTTGATATCCGTGCAGTCTAAGGGACTGTCAAGTAAGGGTCTTGGGATCCCTTTACTCTACATTGGTGAAAATGGTGGTTGTAACCCCGATGTCCCCGTGGTCTTAGAAGACTGAGAAATAAGCACGTGAGGCCTGTGGATGTTGCTGCCTGGGTGACCACACTCCTAGCCCTCCGTGGGGGAGTGCCACCACTTGCCTTTCCCACGTCTTCTCCAAGCATGTTCTCCTGCTCCAGCTGCCCCTTCCCTCCCCACAGCTTCTCTACCCTGTTCCCCAGTGACTGGGGGCTGCCCTGAGCCTCAC